AAAAAAAAAAAAAAAAAAATTCTGTAGAGCAGGAGAAAAGACAGGACAGAGCAGCCTGTTCCTACCTGTCTCTATCCCATCTGAGCCTGGCTTTTCATCTTTACAGGAGAAAGAACAACTCTTTCCCATTGTTGGGAAAAGAGTGGATAAAAGGACTACTAACCCCATGCACAGGAAACAAATTCCTCAGCTTGTTGTCCAGAGGCTGGATGCAGCTTCCTCTCCAGACAGAGCTGACTGCTGACAATCAATAAGAAGCTGTCTGCTTGAAACCTGAGGGGTCAAAGATCAGGGTGCAGCCACGTTAGTGCTGGGGGAGGAATGTGGCTGGTGAATATGGAGACAAGCCTAAAGATAAAGTTTGTCAAGGAAATGAATTTAAGTCAGTCAGTTACTTAGAAGGACCCATTCAAAGACCTTGTCATTTTGCGGGTGGGTGCATGGAAGCCCAGTGAAGTACAGGAACTTATCCACAATCACAAGGGACTGGCTGGCACAGCTAAGACTGGAACAAAGGGCTCTGGCTGCTGACCCGCGGTGTTCTGCATTTCTGGAAGCCCATGGTGGAGGCTCTGGGCTTCAGGCCTGAATGTCTCACCCTTCCTTTCCACCTCTCGGTAGAGGCCAAACTCAGGAGCCTGGAGGTAAGGCAAAATCCCTACAGCTGTCAAGTGCAGCGTGGCCTGGGGCGGGAGGGTCCTAGGGCCCTTGGTGGCTGGAGCCGGACCGCGGGTCCCCTTTCCAAGCCTAGGGCGTGCCCACGACTCGGCGTCCGTCTTCGGAGTCTGGGACCCACCTGCTTCGCAGCCGCAGGCCCCGCCGGCTGGCCTCGGGCGCAGGCGCGCAGAAGCCCGGCGCCGAAAGTCTCGAGCTGGCTCCGTCCTGCCCGCGCGGCCCGGAGGGACGCCTCCCGCCGCCGCCACCGCTCCTCCTCCTCCCGCCCAGCCCCCTCCGCTCCCCACTCCGTCACCCGGCGCGCCTCTCTGTGCAGCTCTGTCTCCCGCCTCACTGCGCTCTTCCGCCCCCCTAATCCCGTCCGTTACCCCGCTCGCCCTTCGCCCCTCTGTTCCCTCCTCTAACCCTCTGGTGCCCCGCCCCCCTTCCGTGCTACCCATTGCTCCGCCCCCTGCGCGCTCTCCCCTCCCCACCCCCAACCCCCCGCCTCTTTGCTCCCTGCGCCCCTTTTGCTCCCTACGCCCCTTGGCCCCCTACTGTGGAAAGTACCTAGCTGATTTGGGAGTAAGGGGATTTGGAAACTGGGCAGGCTCGCTCAGTGGTGTGTGGACGTGAGCAAGGCGCCGCCCGTCTCTGGTCTCAGGGTCCCGGGTCTATGGTACTAGGAGGATATTGCTTTTCAGTTGGAGATTTGTCTAACCCTGGACAATTTGCTGAGGGTAGAGCTCTCTGCAGTAACCTACCTGTTTTTTCGTTCTTTTAAAGAGAAAAGGTATTTACTTTTATTATTTTGCATAAGTAATGCAAAGGGAAAGACCTGCAGTCTAACCTCATTCACCACCCATTTAGCCTCTGTCTGCTGTGTGCCTAATACTGTCCCTCACCCAGGATTCAGTGGGAAACAAGATAATTCTTGTCTTTGTGGGACTTGGGAGGTGCAGATAACAATCAAGGAAACGAACAAGATGATTGCAGCGAGCGAGAAGAGCTGTGGAGACAACAAAGCAGAATAGTTTCAGTAGCAGAGACCAGGCTCCTCTTTGGATGTGAATGGTGAGAGAGGTGGCAGGTAGGTTAAGATTAGGGGACAAGTAATCCAGGCGAGCAAACTGGCAAGGGCTAAGGTGTTGGAGCCCCAGCCTGCTTAAGGAGCAAGGGTAGTGGGGAGGTGGGGGTTGAAGGGAGAAGGGATTCCTCACCCCATCTCCTCCCCTCCCCTTGGTGAAGTGATCCTTTTAGTTATGCCGTGAGACATTTTTCTAGGAGCACGCAAACATGTAGATTTTCTTTCTTCCGACTTTCCACCCAACTTTTTAAAAACAAAGCACAACAAAACTTCCTCCTGTGTTTCAAGGCTGTTCTGTTGTCTTGGTACAGAACCACCTCACCCTGGCTGGGCTTAGGCCTGGGAGGAAACAAAGTGCAGAGTCACAGACCTTGGACTGGCTAGGGGAGAACCTGACTCCAGGGACTTGCCTGCAAAACTAGTTTTGTATCCCAAGCATGATTCCCAGAATTAGGGGTGGGAAGGACCACTGGGAGGCCAGAGATCCCAGAGAGCTGCATTTCACAGAATCTGAGAATGTCTGAGATTGTCCACTTTTCAGGGTCCCCTAAAACCTAATCCCGATTAGGTCCCAGCTCTGCCATCTGAAACTCTGTGAATGCTTCATTCACTTCCTTTCCTCTCTGGGCCTCAGTCTTCTAATATGCAAGATAGGAGAATTAGACAGAATAACTTCCAACCAAACCAGAATAACTTCTAGACTAGCTTTTTTTTTTTTTGAGACAGAGCCTCAAGCTTTCCGCCTGGGTAGAGTGCTGTGGCATCACAGCTCACAGCAACCTCCAACTCCTGGGCTCCAGCGAGTCTCCTGCCTCCACCTCCCAAGTAGCTGGGACCACAGGTGCCTGCCACAACGCCCGGCTATTTTTTGGTTGCAGCCATCATTGTTGTTTGGTGGGTGCGGGCTGGATTCGAACCCGCCACCTTAGGTATATGTGGCTGGCGCCTTAGGGGTGAGCCCAGAGCCCAGACTAGCTTTTAAGTTAGTTTCCAAGGTAAGTAACTTTGCTCATTGAATCTCAGTTTCTTTATATATAAATAGGGCATAATAATGTCTACATCATAATCAAATGAGATTACAAGGGAAAACTTTTGTTTGTTTTTGTTAGGGGAAAACTCTTTGATTCTTTTTTTTTTTTTTGACCAGGGCTGGGTTTGAACCCACCACCTCTGGCATATGGGGCCAGTGCACTACTCCTTTGAGCCACAGGCACCACCCTAAAAGATGATTCTTTTCAGATGAGAAAACTGAGATTCCTGAGAGGTTAAGCATTTTGTGCAAGGTCCATTTCAACCTAGGGCCACTCATGGCGCAACTCCAGGAATGGGGCACATTTCATTTTTATCTATGTGAATGTGTTCCCTGGAGTTGTGGCCCTGACTTATCTGTCCTCAGGGTTCTTTTAATTTTTTCTGGGTAACTAACTTTTCCTACAGAGAAAAAGGTGTGTTGCATATCATAGGAAAGCCAAAGACAAGTCATGCTAGAACAAACTTCTCTTTGATTTGCCAGTTCAAAAATGGGTACGCTTAATGCTATATTTTCCTCCCTAAGTTAGATGACAGAAATCTTCTGATAGTTTCATCCCTTGGCCTATGCTGTGTGGACTTTGGTCTGGTGATTGCTCTTGGAGACCACCTGGCACGTTACTGCTGGCTAGCTTGAGGTATTTCTCTTACATGAAGGCTTTAGAGATTATCACACTGAAAGTCAACCCAGGCTGGGCCCACTAGATGCATGTCTCGCTACTCTTAAATTTTCTTTTACTTATTTTTTAAACTTTTTATTAAAATGTATCATACATAGTCATGCAAATAAGTATACCTGCCCTTGAATTTTCTTTTCTTTCTTTTTTTTTTTTTGAGACAGGAGCCCCAAGCTGTCACCCTGGGTAGAGTGCCGTGGCATCTCAGCTCACAGCAACCTCCAACTCCTGGGCTCAAACGAGTCTTCTGCCTCAGCCTCCCAAGTAGCTGGGAC